CAGTGCCACACTGCACTGGGGTGACACACACTTGGTGCTGAGAATGTCCCTATGACATGAGCATGGGCAGAGCATGAGGGACCCATTAGAAAACTGAACTGGACCTGTTCCTACCTTTGGCTGTCTCCACCCAAGTCTTGGTGGAAGATGGAGGCAGGTGTTCAGGACCTCAGTCATGGAGCCCTGGAGGAATTTTTTATGTTTATGGTGTGCATATTTGGCCCTCGTCTTGATTTCTACAACCCTTGCACTCCTTCCTTCAGAGGCCTGGAGCGGTGGGAGCATGGATTTGGGGGCAGCAGATCTGACTCAGGTTGACTTCCTCACTTTACAACAGGGAGACCTCAGGTGATTCACTCTGCTCCTGACCTGTTTCTCCAGTTGTAAAATGCAGGTCAGACAACAGCCTCGCCCACCTCTGAGACTGAGTCAAGGACTGAATGAGGAGAGGTAGTAAATGAGGTAGGCTGACTTAGGGGTTATTGTTTGGGAAGTGTGATTAGAGTGCTCCTGGTTTTTCAGGCAGCAAGGAGGGAGTGGTGGCCTAGGAGCTCATCTGAGACAGTTTTGTGTGTATCCAGGATACTTCCAGTTGCAACTCTAGCTGTGCCTTGACTTATGGTGGGATCACATCCCATTAGAAACCCATTATAAGTTGAAAATATTGCTAATACTAAAATGCTTTTACAAGTCAGATGTAGTAGTTCACACCTGTAATCCTAGCACTTAGTAGGGAGAGGCAGAAAGACTGAGTTCCAGGCCAGCTTTGAATCTTCAATAAGGCCCTGCTTTTTGCAAGTGCGTTCTTGTTTGCTTGCTTACTTGTTTTCATCAGTTAATTTTAAACATACTTTCCTCGAATTTCAAAAGGGTTGTACAATTTAACCTGTCCATATAAGTGTCCGGTATTACTTGATCACTCTTCCCCGCCCATCTGTTCCCTCCCATTACTTATTCATTGTTTCCCACTTCTATAGTGAAACCCTGCTTTTTAAAATGCATTTACTACCAGTGTCCTTCCAGGGGAGGGCACAAAAGCAACATGAATTCAATAGAACCTGTACTATTATGTTTGGCCCATACAGCCAGCCTCACCCCTAGACTTTTCCGTTTCGGAGCTGACACATTTCTTCTTTGCTTTAAGCCAGTTAGGCCTGTTTTCTATCAATTTCATCCAGGTCTTAAACGCTACTCTTCTTTGTCTTCATCCAAGGCAGGGCATGCCACAGAGAAGTACATGTGGGTGACTAGAATGTTTGGCCCAAGTTTTAGTGGCCAAGTGCATTTGTCATTTGATTCTAATGTTACCCAGAAAGCATCCCAACCATGAAAGAGATGGAAGAATGCTACATGAATATGGATGAGGAGATTTCATCCAGATCAGGGGTAGGCAAACTACAGCTTGTGGAAGAAATCTGGCACACCACTTGTTTTCATAAATAAAGCTTGCCTGGAACACAGCCACACTCTGGTGGTTTTGTGTAATGGCCCAATGGCAGAACTGAGTGGGAGCTACAGGAATCATGTGACTCATAAAACCTACCAGAAAAAGATGTACTGCCCCCTGGTAGATGGTGGAAGAATAAAATATTGGGAAAGTCCTTCCCTGTGTCCCCAAATCACAGCAGCACTGAGAAGCCTCCATCTTGGCCTATGTCTCACTACCTCTGGTCCTGTGCTCTTCAGGAAAGCGAGTGTCACTTGAACAAAGCTTACCTCACAATGAAGTTAATGTGCCCTTACCATGTGGCTTACCCTCACTAGGAAGTAGGACCAGTGTAAATGTGCCGGGAATAAAAGTTAGTCAAATTTTCATAAACATTGGTCAATCTTATCTGGCATCTAAAGCCAATGGATTCTGCCTCTAGCCACAATTATAGTGTATTAAAGGCCATCAAAAAAAGGCTTGAAATTTTTTATGTTGTCATGCAAGGATTGGACCCAGGGCTTCACATACTCTAGGCAGGTGCTCTACCACAAGGGGTAGGCTATTCCTCTGGTCCCAGGCCATCTCCCTGTTTAATTCTTGGCAGTTACACTCCTGCCTCAAGTCTCATATACACAGATAAAGTGGGTAAAATAGGGGAAGGAACATGTTATCAGTCATCCTCATGGGGTTTTCTAAAGAACTTTATCTCTGCTAAGTTAAATCATGAGCAAGAAACATAGTAAGATTTTGAGGAAATCCTGTCATAAAACTTCCTTAAACATCTATGATAATTTTGTATGACTCTTCCTCAGAAAGGGCTTCATAAAGGATAGTGTTGCATTGTCCACAAAATGGCTTTTGCAGAATAATCCTTGATGATTTGTTTTATGCCTATCCTAGGGCCTGGGTGCCATCTTGAGCTTTTTTTGCTTAAGTCTAGCTCTCTGGCACTTTTGGTGCTTTTTTGGTGCTTAATTGGAGTTAAGAGTCTCACAGACTTTCCTGCCCAGGATGGCTTCAAACCACAATCCTCAGATCTCAGCCTCTTGAATAATTAGGATTCAGGTGCGAGCCACCAATGCCTTGTGATCCTGGGTTTTTAGTCAAGTCTACATGATGAACCCCTCAGACTTCCTCAAGGAAAAGGATGGTTGATCCCAGATCACCTGTGACCTACTCTATTCCTTTGTCTTGACCCTGGGAAGCTCTGGTGAAATAAAACTGAGCTCTATGAGTTACCTCTTCTAGGTTCCGAATCTACTTGATAAGTCTAAGAATGAACCTAAAACCTAGGCAATTGTGCGTGCACACGTGTGTGTGTGTACAAGTGCGCTAGTACTGGGGCTTAAACACGGTGTCTCTTGCTCTTGCATAGCTCTTTTCATTCGAGACCGGTACTGTACCACTTGGGCCACACTTCCACTTCTAGTTTCTGATTGCTAAGGTCCAGTAATGTGGGCTACCTGAAACTGCTGGTGAATGTACCACTTGTGTTGCCACAGGAAGAGCATGCTGCTGCTGTGTGCTTCAAAGGCACCCATGCAAGAATGGGCTCCATAGAGCTTCAGCATCTCCAGTTCTGAGTTGGATGTCTCCAGCTGCTTGAGTTCTGCTAGGAAACAGGATAGAAGTTAACCAAGGACATCATGTCTTTACAGAGGTTGGTTCTTTTCCGGCTTGGCACAGCTATTCTCCTTTCTTCTGAAAGAGCTTTGGAAGCTTTGATATGGCTACCAGGCTGGTACTGAGACTGGCATTAACTCCACAGGTTGTGAGCCTAGAGAAGTTTCTGGAATAAGTGAACTCTGGGATGAACTTGAGCAGTCAGGGGATTAAGCATCCATCTTCCAGTAGAGGAGACTCCAATGATGAGGGAAGCAGACTCTGGGTGAAGGCTGGTCAGGAAAAGGTTGACTGTGAAGGGCAGCACATCAAAGGAAAGTGGCAGCTTGTATTTCACTTTGGGTTTGTGTTGTTGTCTCACAGTTACTGGCCAGAGTCTAACCTCTGATTCAGAAAAGATGTTTCTTCTGCCTTACCCAGGAGGCCTCCTCGCTGGTCCCAGGAGGGTCTGGCAGGACCCCAACATCTAGGACATTCAAGCTGGGCTTAAGGGGAAGGTGGGGCTCATGTGGAAAGAGCTCAGTGGACATTTTGCATTTATTGGGTCAGTTCATGTTTGTTGGAATTAAATGTTATGGTAGTATCTTCCATACATGGATCTGCTTGGTAAGTCTGAGAATGTTATCTCTAAAACCTAGCAAATTGTGTGTATGTGCATGTATAATACTGGGGCTTAAATTCAGGGCCTCTTGCTCTTGCGTAGCTTTTTTCATTCAAGACTGGTACTGGGGCTGGGAAGGTGGCTCAGTGGTAGAGCGCTTGCCTTGCATGCCTGATGCCCTGGGTTCGATTCCTTAGCACCACATAAGCAAAAAGAAAAAAGCTAGAAGTGGCGCTGTGGCTCAAGTGGTAGAGCACTAGCCTTGAGCTGAAGAGCTGAGGGACAGCCCCCAGGCCCAGAGTTCAGGCCCCATGACCGGACTCAAAAAAAAAAAGACTGGTACTATACCACTTGAGTCACACTTCACTTCCAACTTTTTATTGGTTAGTTGGTGATAAGTCTCTCAGTTTCATCTTCCCAGGCTGGCTTTGAATTGCAATGTTTGGGTCTCAGTCTCCTGAGTAGCTAGGATTACAGGCATAAGCCACCTGCACCTAGCTTCTAGGACCTGTCTTGAATGCTGGGTTGGAAAGTCCAAGAGAAGATATATCTCTGGAAATGGCAGTGTAAACACTGATCTGTCACCCTCTTTTCTCTCCCTAGCTTGACTTTACCTACCCTACTAGGCCCAGCTCCTTGTAATGCAAACTCAGATGGAAGCAGTCCGTTTTGTGTCTTCGTTACACCAATTATTATTCCTGTGCCCAGAGCCTTCTGCATTAGTAATGGGAAGGATAGATTTCAATTTTGCAGCCCCACTCCCCCAAAAAAGAAACAAAACCAACTTTCTTACCGGGCAAAAATAACCAGGAATCAAGAATTACTTTTGGGATTGGGTTTAAGTTGTGTGGGTGTGGGCGTGCTCTGAGGACTCCTCTCTCCCTGTTGGAGCAGAACACCTACCTTCTTAGCCTTCCTAGGAAGAAGGCCTCTCCACAGAGGAGACACAAAGCCAGATGACTGCAAGATTCCAGTCTGTCTCCATGCCAACCTCTGCCTCTAGTCAGAACCTCTATCTCCCACCATGCAGAATGCCTACTCCAGGCTCTAGAGCACAGCCTCCACTCATACTCAGGGAGGAGACAGACATGCTGAAATGCAGTATGTGCAGTGCAGGGAGTTTGCAAAACAACCCTTCCTACTCCTCACTGGGCACACTGCCTCCTTAACTAGAGGCAAAGGTGTGTGAGGGTGGAACTGATGTCCTGTCTCACTTGCAAAGGCCCATGCAAATTGTCTGGAAACATTTTACATGGGAGAAAAATGATTCAATGGCAACCTTCAAAACTCCCTAAGACTAGACATTCTGAAGGAACTGTCAGTACAGATCACAAATGACAGACATTATAGAAAATGTTATTCCTTTATTATTTCAAGGAGGTAATACATAGCCCAGAATGCCAAAGCAATAGGAAATTAGAGGCAGCAAATAGCCAGAGTTTCTGAGAAGAGCCTCATGCTGCATCTCTGAGCTCTGGTCTGCCTACAGCCCAGGGCTGCTCACAAGAAGGCCAAGACAGTGACATGAGCTGGCTGTGACTGTAGCAGCGGACAGATGACCAAACTTGGCACTCCACTGACCACCAAAGGGCTCAATGCAGGGAGCAGCAGAGGCACTACCAGGGCCCAAGGGGAAGATAGCACTCACCCTGCCCCCACTAGTTCACAAGGCCTCTGCCACCACAGCAGCCAGCCTGTCTAGCACTTGACTATTTCTGTGAGCCTAGATTGGGCAAGCCAGAACTAAATCCTGAGTCATAATGAAGGTGAAAGACTTAGTAGTGTTAATGCTGAGAAAAAAAGACAATACTCAGAAGATGGGCTGGGAATCTGTGGGCGAGGATGGAAACACGCCGAAGGGTCTCAAGACCTCAGAGGGTTTTACATGGTACATGATGAGAGGGGTAGGGGCTGGGCACTGGGGGCTGCTTCCTCTGCCTAGAGTTGAGCTAGAGGCCGGTTTCCACTCATAATTGGTTACCTGGATCTAAGTCAGCACACCTGAGGTAAGGCCTGTGCACCAGGCGTGGCCTTGGAGAGATGTGTGGCTCAGTTCCCCCACCCCCAGCTTCTGTCCCTTGAAAATAACTGGGATGGAAGGCAAGAGGCAGAAGTACCTCTGACTGTGGCCCTAATATGGTCTTTTCCAGGGAGCTCATTTTGGTGGGAACCAGAGCCCCACATTGGCATGGAGTTGACCAATCTTCACCCACAAGAGGGTGTCCTGTCTGGTGATTTAATGGTGGCATGTTGTTGGGAGTGGCAGCAGTGGCTATGGATCCTGTAATGTTCAGATGCCATGCGTTTCAGTGCAACCATCCAGGCTGGAGGCTGGCAGGGAGGGCTTCTTTCTCCTGGCATGCACTGCTCCCAGCCTCACTGCATGAGCTGACAGAGTTTTGGTTTGACAGATGTGAAAAGAATTTTAAAAACCACGCCACTGTGTACTCCAAACTCAGAGCCACTGGTTTTGTTTTGACAAGAAAGGACAAAGAGAACCACACATGGCTCCATGGTAGCTAAGGCTGGTGCAGCGCAGAATGCACTAGGTACCGAAACGCAGAAACTCTGTCTGACTGGGGAGCTGGTGGCACAGGGACGCAGGTCCTCTAGTCAGTGGCAGGCTCTGCTGTCTTTTCCTCATACTCCTCAAAGCCTGGGACTGGCTTCTGTAGAAAGTATGTGGTGGCCTGTATCACCTTGTCCGGTCCAATATTGTACACAGGGTGGGTAGGCTGCTGTAAAGAGAACAGATGCCAACATCATACTGTGCTCCCTGGAAATACACACATCCTTCATTTGCTGAAATGCACTTTTTTTTTTTTTTTTTGGTCAGTCCTGGGGCTTGAACTCTGGGCCTGGGCACTATCCCTGAGCTTCTTTTGCTCAAGGTGAGTGCTCTACCACTTGAGCCACAGTGCCACTTGTGACTTTTTTGAGTAGTCTATTGGAGGTAAGAGTCTCACAGAGTTTCCTGCCTGGGCTGGCTTCGAACCACGATCCTCAGCTATCAGTCTCCCGAGTAGCTAGGATTATAGGCATGAGCCACCGGCACCCAGCTGAAATATACTTCTAAGAATGTGGTATAAGGTTCATCAAAGATACACACCAAGATACGTAAGATAAGAATGGATGTGGTGGCCCACTCCTGAGTCCCAGCACTAGGGAGGTGGAAGCAACAGGATCAGGAATTCAGAGCCAGATAGGGCTACACAGTGACTTCCAGGTCAGCCTGGGCAATACAGTGAGCCCCCACTTCTCCTCCCCACTCCCCCCTGCTTTTTTGAGAGTGTATGTGTATATTCCCATACTGGGACTTAAGGGCCTGGGCACTATCTCTTAGTTTTTCTACCTCTAGTCCACATACCATGTGGGGATCTTAGACAACAGTAAGTAAGATTTTTAAAAGTCAGAATGGAAGAGGCAAAACTATGCTTATTTGAAGATGCCATTCTTTTCCAAATAGAAAACCTAAGCTAAGAGAGTCTGTAAAGTATTACAATTATTAAGAGTTTATAAAGATTGCTGTATATAAAATTAACATATAAAAATCAACAGCCATTTCATATACTAAGTAACAACCAGTTATAAAATATAATGGGGAAATAAGATTGTACTCAGAGTAACTACAAAAACCATGAACTACTCAGATATAGATCTAACAAAAATGTACTGGCCTTCAAGAGAACAAAATTTAAGAATCACTGAAGAATATGAAAGAAAAACTAGAATGTTTATAAAAGTAAAACCTTAATAGAGGCCAGCTGTATCACATTAACCTAACAGTCAGTTCAATCCCAACAAAAATTTCAAATTCTTAAAAAAAATTTGTAAGAATTTGATAAGCTGATCCTATAACTCATAAGGAAAGGCAGTTGTAAAGAAAACAAAAAAGAGGTACTTGCCTAATTGTCTGTGTGTAGACTGTTTAAAGTGCAGAGGTAAACAAGCCAAAGGAACCGAATGACAGTCTAGAACAGAACCTCCTCACACACAAACTGATGGGAGGCCCACCAGCATGAAAGCTTGCAAACCACAATAAATACTGCTGTTCAGAAAAATACAGAATTATATCTTGCCATCACTATAGACAGAAATCAAATCAAACTTGAAAATTTTTGTCTTACTGCAGTGCTTTGTTAACTATGGCACTTAATGTGACTTGTGATGTATTTTGTTTGTCAGCTTCTCTCAAAACATGGTAGGGATAAATTCCTTCTACAAAGCCTTGATACCCAAACTGGAAAAAGACCACAACAGCAGCAGCAATAAAAATCACAGACAAATTCCTTAATGAATACTTGCAAAGTGAATTCAACAACACATCATGATTAAGTTGGTACATTCTAGGAATGCTAGGATGGTTCAACCTATTCAAATCAATGTAACAAAGTACATAAACCAAATAAAGTACCAAACCCACAAAATCACTTCTATAGATACAGAGAAAATTCAACATCTTTTCTTGGTTAAAAACTCTGAAGAAATTAGGAATAGAAGGAATGGACTACAACATAATAAGGATTATATATGACAAACCTATTGCCAATATCATGCTACATGGAGGAAAACAAATCATTCCCACTGAAGTCAGGAATGAGACACAGGTATAGTTTCTATACTCTCTGCATTCTCCCAACTGCTATTCAGTATAGTACTAGAACTCCTAGCAGAGCAGTACAACAGGAAAGACAATAAAAGACTTAAAAAGGGAAGAAATAAATTGAATTATCCCTATTTGCAAATTATGGGGCTCTGTATTTAAAAGATACTAAAGATTCTAACAAAAAACTCCTGGATCTGCTAAACACTTTTTTTTTATATAGCAGGATAAAAAATTAGCATAGAGAAATTGGTAGCTTTTCTATATGCCAATACTGAACTATCTAAGAAAGAAATTCAAAGACAATTATTTTTTTTTAAGCCTAGGAATAAACTAAGGAGGTAAAAGATCTTTACAATAAAAACTATAAAAGATCCAGAAGAGGACTGGGAAGGTGGCTCAGTGGTAGAGTGCTTGCCTCGCATGCATGAGGCCCTTGGGTTCCATTCCTCAGCACCACATAAGCAGAAAAAGCCAGAAGTGGTGCTGTAGCTCAAGTGATAGTGTGCTCGCCTTTTGAGCTAAAGAACTGAGGGACAGCGCCAGGCCCACGATTGACAGAAAAATAAATAAATAAATAATAAAAGATCCAGAAGATAGATTTTTTTTAAAAAAAAAATGATTTCAGGCCATCTACTATGGCTGGGCAGTAGTGGCTCACACCTGTAATCCTAGTTATTTTGGAGGCTGATATCTGAAGATTGATGTTTGTAGCTGGCCTGGGCAGAAAAGTCCCATTAGTCCAGTTAACCACCAAAAAGCTGGAAGTGAACGTGTGGCTCAAGTGGTACAGTACTAGCCTTGAGCAGAAAATACAAGTAAGTATGTTAGATCATAAGGCCTTGAGTTCAAGTCTTAGTAACTGCACACACAAAAAAGGAACAATTACTTAAGTAACACTTCCCACTGCCCCCCCCCAAAAAAAACCCCAAACTATAGAAAAGATAAACTGCATACTACTTTAAAGTGAAAATCCATTCAGGACTAGTACTAGGGCTCAAATGGTTGGGTACCTGCCTAGAAAACTTGAAGGCCTGAGTTCAAATCCTAATACCCTGCCCCTATCCAAACACTAAAAATAAAGCAAAAAGGAAAAGTCACAAATTGAAAGATACTTACTATATACCCGTAAGTGAGAAAGGGTTAGTATCATGACTACACAAAGAAGTCCTACAAATATGCAAGACAAAGGAAAACATCTGAAATTACAAATCAGTAAGCTAATAAGGAGCTAAGGATAAGAATTCTGGCAACAAGAAAAAAAATCTGCCTATGGAATGCCTTGTCTTCCTGCTGTTGTGAGTATAAGATAGCACAAACCCTGCTGAAGAACATTTGGTAGCTATCTAGTAAAGCATTTGACTGCTTGTTCTGGGATACGCCTGTAATCCCATCACCTAAGAGGCTGAGGCAGGAAAAGATCACAGTTGGAGGCTAGCCTGAGTAACAATTCCAGACCAGAATGATGCACATAGCAAGACCTTGTCTCCAGAGATCAAAGGCTAGGGCTATAGCTCAGTAGTAAAGCATTAGTCTAGGAAGCAAAAGGTCTTAGGTTTGATCCCAAGTATAAAGCTTAAAATATGTAAAATTAACACACTAATATTTTTATAGTAGAAACAGATATATTAAGAGGACAAAAAATACACAGCCATGATAGAAGTCAAATTCAGGACAAGGTTAGGTCTAGGGAATGAGGGAAGAAACAAAAGAAGAGGGTTGATAATGGCTAGGCACCAGTGGCTCATGCCTGTAATCCTAGCTACTCAGGAGGCTGAGATCTGAGGATTGCGGTTCAAAGCCAGCCCAGGCAGAAAAGTCTATGAGACTCTTTAACTCCAAGCAACCACCAGAAAACCAGAAATGGTGTTGTGGCTAAAGTGGTAGAGGGCTTGCCTTGAGCTTAAGAGCTCAGGACAGCGCCCAGGTCCAGAGTTCAAGCCCCACGATCAACAAAAGAAAAAAGAAGACAGATAAGAAAATAGGCTCAGTATTTACAGTTGTGGAAACAGGACACTGTAATACTTCATAACACTAAATTGTGTTCACTAAAATCTGTGTGGGTCATGTTACTTGACCTCTGTGGACATCTCAGTTGAATCCATGTCCTGGGCTCATATTTGGGTTCAGAGTATCTCTAACGAGACATTAAGCTGATACACCCAGGAGAGATGTAGTCAGCATACAGTGAGTATGCCCTGTAGATGCTGTACTTTCCTCAGAGAGGAACTAAGGGGTAAGTGCTGGTCTGGATCCCTGACTCTGGAATAAACATACAAAACCTCTATCTATCCCAGATCAGACTACACTATTAATAACCTGAGTGCCTACAGTTGCATTTCCTAAAGGTTGTATCCTCACTAATGGGCTGCAAAGAGTAAGGGAGTGTCCACTAAGAGCTTTGTAGCCTGTTCACACAGGGAGCACATGCCAGTGCTGCAGGCTTAAGTTCTCTGCTCAGAGAAACACGTGGAGAAGAGGTGTTGAGTCCCCATTGCACCTTACCAGAGCATTTTCTGGCATGCCCAGGACCACATCATGCAACATGGCTCCGCTGCCAAAGTGCTGGGCAATGGATAGGCCACTGAGGCAGTAGCAGGTGTGGTAGAAGTCACGTGACCTGTAAGGACAAGCAGTTCTGAGCATGTGCTCCTCTGCTCCCACCAAGCCCTCCAGTGAATCCAACCACATGGATCCAGGTGCCAGTGATATGCTTTGCCTGCCTTGCCCTTAGGCTACACATGGCTACAGGTGTGGCTTTTCCTAGCATTGTTTTGAAAAGCCCTATCTTCCCACCCCGCCCAACAGTGAGGCTATAATTTTAGCCTTTGTTCTATTCTACTTAAATCAGTTTGTCTCAACAGAACAAAACAAACAACTGAGGAGGAAAGCTACTAAGCCGGCCATCCTGTCCCCTCTCAGGAGAAGGTCATGTGAGCAGGGAGACCAGATAAGCTGGGGTCCTACTGATTAGGGTGTCTTCCCCATGTGACACTAGCACGAAGCAGGCAGATTTAAAGGGATGCCCAGCCTTTAATGGCCTGGTTCTGAGCTGAGCTGTAGAATACTGCCTTTCCTGCTTGCCATCCCCTGCTCCCTTCCTCCCTCCTTCCATCCTGACAAGACACTCACTTGCCAGGCTTGTCCAGAAGGCCACCGGCAGGGCACTGGCAGCACATGAGGATGTACTCCTGCAGGGCCTGCTGATGGAACATCCAGTGGCTCATGCTGAGGGCTGGGTCACCTGAAAGACAAGAGGTCCAAGCAGCAGTTAGCCATGACTTGTACTTTATGAGCCAGTAAGAACCGTCAGGCTTTCATTTCCCTCCTCTTCCATTCTTTCTTGGTATACCTGCTATCTTCACATATTCCTTCTGCTGAGCCTTGTCCTGTGTCAAAGAGCAGCCATTCAAAGCATTCACTTCCTACCTTGTTGGCTTTCTGAGTACTTACCTTACTCCTCCTCCTGAAATGACCAATTTGTTTGCCTTTTTTTTAAATTTGCCTTTTTTTTTTTTTTTGATAGAGTCTCATTATGAGCCAGGCTGGCCTCAAACTAAGTCTCCTGTGTGATGGAATTACAGGTATGTACTACCATGCCTGGAAGCCATCATTCTGTATTCTAGCACCTTTCTGAACCTTGTGCAAAACTCTAAACAGATAAAGGAATTCTCAGCAGGCAGTAATAAACTGTTTATTCTCCTACTTTCTAAATCAGAGTGAAAGCTATCTCCAAAAGGGAATTCATCAAATTATTTCTTGACTCAATTTCTTTTTTTCCTAGCTGAAGGAGTGGCTCAAGTGATAAAGCCATCTACACAAGGACCTGAGTTCAATCCCCAGTACAGGGGAGGGGGTGGTAAGAAGGAACATTTATTTAATGTTTTTTTTTTAATGAGGACATTGAAAATATTCTAAAGTTAATTGTGAGGATGGTTGTATAATTCAATGAATAAACTAAACTGAATCTTATGTCTTAACACTTCAGAAAAGCTACATTAAACTTTCTATATAAAATATGCCTTTATGTCATACCCTAAAACAAATGATTATTTCTGGAAGTTAAATAATAACCTATGGGTAAAATCAGAATCTGGAAAGAAAGTGCTATAAACTATTAAAAGATTATAGAGTGCTTCAATTACTTCCTATATTACTGAGGTTTAAATCTCAAAGTTCATAAACTCCACAAGGAGCTTCCTGAATTTGGACACAATCACCCATAATCGAAGCAAGATAAAGGGAGAAATGATAGCAGGATGATTACTTTGCATGGAAATCAGCTTTTTAAATCCCTTTACCTCTGCCTTCAACTACAGATCCCATTATCATTTTGCATTTCAAAGGTTCCTTTCATCTACCCAGTTTCTAAACCATAACTGACAGGTACAGCCACATGGAGCCCAATTTCACAGATGTACAAGAAAGAACCAAGGAATATCCCAAAGAAACTCACAGGCTTTCTTAATGCTCCAGAAAGCAAAGTAAGACTGACTTAATCATCGGAGATTTTAAGTGACTACTGGTAATTCATTGTTCTATTCAAACATTGTCTTCCACTGGTGGAAGGCAGTTGATGGTATGGAGCTACTAATAGTCACTTGCTGAGTGAGGAAATGGCCTACACCTCTATGCTGCACTCCGTTGGGTCTTTTTCTAGAAAAAGACTGTGTGTGTGTGTGTGTGTGTGTGTGTGTGTGTGTGTGAGAGAGAGAGAGAGAGAGAGAGAGAGAGAGAACAAGCGAGAGAGAGGGAGAAAGGGAGAAAAAAAAAGGCAGATTGGGAATGGCCTTAAGCATGCTAAACAAGTGTTTTATCACTGAGCCAAATTCCCAGCCTGTGTTGTTTTCCTTTTCCTTTTTTTCTCTATGCTAGTAGAGGGGCATGAACTCAGAGCCTCGTGCCATGGTTGGCTTTCTTGTTCACAATTGGCATTCTACCACTTGAGTCACACCTTCTAGTATAGCATTTTGTTGGTTAATTGAAAATGGACTCTCAACAATTTTTTTTTTGCTCAGGCTAGCTTCAAACTTTAATTCTTTAGATCTCAGCCTCTTGAGTAGCCAAGATTGAGTAGCCACCAGTGCCCAGCATATTTTTTTTTTTTTTGGTCCGGTCGCGGGGCCTGAACTCTGGGCCTGGGCGTTGTCCCTCAGCTCTTCAGCTCAAGGCTAGCGCTCTACCACTTGAGCCACCGCGCCACTACCGGCTTTTTTTCTTTTTGCTTATGTGGTGCTGAGGAATCGAACCCAGGGCCTTGAGCATGCAAGGCAAGAGCTCTACCACTGAGCCACCTTCCCAGCCCTGCCCAGCATATTTTATTTTTCTTTATACAAGAAACATTTCAATTGTAGAGAAAAACAGAAAATGCAAACTAAAAGAAAATGACTATCTGTAATTTCATATCCCAGAGTCTATTCTTTTTTCCCCCATCCTAAAGATGGAATTTAAGGATTTGCATGTGCTAGGCAGGCACTGTACCACAACACTACATTCTCAGCTTTTTCTATTAATTTGTAGAGCCAACTCTCACTAAAAATGAGATTACTCTGTTTTGAAGCTACTGTGGTCATAGTATAGGGTAAGATGTGTCTATAATGCATCTCCTTTCTATTCCAAGGTTGGTATTTTGCCTGCCAATCAGAACACACCCTCTGCTAGACTCCAGTCTGTTCCAAGTCCAAGAAACTTATTTTCTTTTCCTTTTTAGAAAAGCTTTTGTGATGGTGCTGGGGCTTCAACTCAGGGTCTCCTGCTCCCACTCGGCTTTTCCATTAAAGTCTGGTACTCAACTATTTGAACCACACTTCTTTTTCTGGCTTTTTGGTGGTTTATTGGAAATAAGAGTCTTCTGACAGTCCTACTAGTGGTCTAGCCAGAAAGTGTGCAGCCTCCAGAGACAGACAGGTTTGTATCTTAAAGCTCTGAGCCTAATCCCTGTAGCCCTGGGCTGGGGACACAGCCCAGCAACTGCGTTTATCTTACAGTATCAAAAGTGGCCACAACTCAACAGCTCTAATTAAATTAAGCAGCTAAAGAATAAGGTGTGGACAATATAAACAAGAAGGAGGAAAAAGACAGGATGAGAAGGGCAAAAGAAAAGAATCTTACTTTTTACACTTGAGCAACTAATTACCTACCTGAGTCCAAAGAAAAGTTTCCTTCTGGGAGGGGAATCTCCCTGAAGGGTTGGATTAGTACCCAGCAAGGCAGCACAGCTCCTCTGTTCAGCTGGTACTCAGTGACACCCTGCTCTCAGGAAAGCAAAAGAGCTAGCTAGAACAGGCAGCAGACAAGCAGCCTGAGGTTCCAAGAGAAAAGGAAGAAGGTTTCCAGCACTTTTTGATTGTTGTCTACTTTGATTCTGCATCCCCACTGGAGACCCCACAGACAGGAATGTAGAATTTTGGAATACCTGGTACAGGTGTAACAAACTCACAGTTTGGATGGCTCAATGAATTTCTAATCGACTGTTCCTTTTTTGTTTTTTTTCTGCTGATCATGGAGCTTAAACTCAGGTCGGGGCACTGTCCCTGAGCTTTTGTACTCAAGGCTATCACTCTACCACTTGAGCCACAGCTCCACTTCCAGTTTTTTGGTGGTTAATTAGAGATAAGATCTCAGCCTCTTGAGTAGCGAGGATTACAGGTGTGAGCCAAGGGCATCTGGCTAATTGATGATTTCTAATGGTGGTGATATCTAAACAGTCAGCATAGTAGACATGGTAGCTGTTTTCTCTGAACATTCCACTTCTCTGCACCTTTCCGTCACCAGGTGCCCAGGTGCACAGTGTTGCACTTCTGACATGACCGAATGAAGCTCTGTGATAGAAGCTGTAGCTTCACACCTAGCTGAGGTGACAGTCATTGAGGGGGTCAAGACAGGAATGGCTGCTTCCACCAGATAACAGGGGCCTCCTCACTATGGTATAAGGGAGCTGACCCTGCCACAGGTGACCCCTCAACCACTAGCCCTAAATCCTGTTGAGCACAAGAATCCCTCACCCAGGGGCTCCCCATGGAGCTCTCAAAATGCAGGATGGGCAGAGCTCCTTCCACCCCTCTAAACAGGCATGCTAGCTCCTGGCCACTTGGAGACCAACTACCATGCAGTTCCAGCTAAGGGCCTCCTGGGCTCACCTTGTGCATGCAGTGCGCGGTGTAGCAGGGGTAGAAGCCCTGCCTGCCAGAAGGAGTAGCAGCCGTCCACCAGCTTGTTGCAGCGGCCCTGAAATCCACCCTCAAACCGCATCTGCCGGCTTGTCACCCATTGCTGAGAAAGGAAAAAAAATGACAGGAGAGGCAGAATGTTAACTAAACATTCACAAAATCCAGCAAGACAGGATGCTCTGTGGGAAGAAGGCTTCCTTACATATGACTTCTTAGCTCTTGGATTTAGAGGCTCTGGCTTTCTTCCCTTTTGAGGCTACTAGCACTTATTTCTGCTCAGTGACTAACCTTTACTTGGTTCCAATTCAGTGCTGACGCTGAGAATAAAGAGAACAAGTTGATATGTAAGGAGACCTGCAAAAGTGTCTTAGTAAACACAGCATGTGCAGGAAAGCTAGCTAAGACCGTCAGTGGCTCTATACTCACTACCCACTGCTCAGGGAACATTTATTCAAGTAGATAAATGGAATGCTCTGTTACACCTCATCACAGCATCTGTCTCACCTACTACCTGGGGAAATTCACTCCAGGCCTCTCAGCAAGTCTCCACCAAGACTGAGGCAGCACCCATTTGTTTTGACTATCAGCTGTAGTCTCTGCCCGTTTAGCCTCCCATCCTCCAAAAGGAAACTGGCTGGCTGATACAGTCTTTTACTTTATACACTGGCACTTGATGTTACTCAATGGTCACATGTGATACCACCATTCCTTCCTTATCTCCAAGTTGTCTAAACACACTGTACTACTAAGATCAAGACAGCCTTGGGGTTGGCTAAAGAAGTAGAATCAACTGGCTGAACAGATATAACATTCATTTCCCATCCCAGTCTATGGAGCAGCCACTGGCCGACACCACAGGACAGTATCACTGCACTGAAAGGTAGAGAGTAGGCTATGTCCCCAGTACCCAGTCTTTTGAATTCTTGGATATAAACACAATGGACTCATTAGAGAAAGCAACCCTGACCTCTCTTAACGGTTGTAGTTGTAGTCACAGCAACATTCAGTGACAGTCACAACCACAAATTCTTTTTTCTTTTTGGTGGGTCCTGGGGCTTGAACTCTGGGCTTGCGCGCTGTGCCTGCACTCTTCAGCTAAGGCGAGTGCTTTACCACTTGAGCCACAGCGCCACTTCTGATTTTCTAGTGGTTTATTGGAGATAAGAGTCTCACGGACTTTCCCCCCTTAGCTGGCTTTGAACCTTGATCCTCAGATCCTCAGTCTCCTGAGCAGCTAGGATTACAGGCGTGAGCCACCAGTCAAAAATTCTTAAAAGGACAAAGTCCAGCTGGGCACCAGTGACTCAGACCTATCATTAGCAACTCAGGATGCTGAGATCTGAGGATCTTGGTTCAAAGCCAGTTGGGGCAGAAAAGCCCACAAGACTCTCTTTATCTCTAACTACCAAAAAAGCCAGAAGTAGAGCTGTGGCTCAAGTGGTAGAGCAAAAAAGTTCAGGGACAGCACCCAGACCCTGAGTTCAAGCACCAAGATTTGCACAAAAGAGAAAAAAGGTAAAAACTTGCATAGTTGGTTGAGATAGTAACACATCGTAGTTGGTCTTAAATGACTTGTGCCTAGGGATAATGGCATCTGATGGCAGTAGACTAAGCATTACTCAGGAAGAGAGAAAGTAAGCACTACCTAGGTATCTATTCATTTTTCTCTTTCCCCACTGCTTAAGTAGTCCCAAATGCAATTGATTTTTTTTCCCCAATGCCTAAGCCCATGGGTTCATTCTATTCCCTTGACTATAGGAAGTCATAAAATCCTTTAGATATAGGTCCTGGCTCTTCCAAAGCAAAAGGAAGGGAGGGAGGAAGTTAAGAGTAATATCAACATTTATAGAGCATCTACTGTATAAATAAGGCTGTTTGTGTAAGTTCTCTCCTTTAACCCTCAAAGAACAAGGATTGAGACACATGAAATGCTCAACCTCCCTAGCCATAAAAGAAATGCAAATCAAAACAACATTGAGATACCACCTCGCCTGTTAGAATGGCTATAATCAAGAACTCTAACAACAACAGATGCTGGAGGGGATGTGGACAGAAGGGAACCTTACTGCATTGTTGGTGGGAGTGTAAACTTGTTCAACCACTTTGGAAAGCAGTATGGAGATTCCTCAAAAGACTCCACATAGAGTTCCCCTATGACCCAGCAATCCCACTTTTGGGCATTTACCCAAATGTTCACAAACAAGACCACACTAAAGCTACCAGCACGACTTATTGCAGTATTATTTACTTATTACAGTATTATTTAGCTAAGATATGGAACCAAACCAGATACCCCTCAGTAGATGAGTGGATCAAGAAAATGTGGTATATATACACAATGGAATTCTATGCCTCCATTAGAGTGCTCTATATAGTTTTTTTTTTTTTGTCGGTCGTGGGGCTTGAATATGCCTCCATTAGAAAGAATGACATTGTCCCATGTGTTAGGAAATGGAAAGAGTTGGAAAAAATTATATTAAGTGAAGTAAGCCACGCCCAAAGAAACATAGGTCCCGTGGTTTCCCTTATTTGCAATATCTAGTATATGTCTGAGTCAAGCAGAAAAGGTCAGATAAGTTGACGTTAGGGAAATGAACCCTAAGATACGTATTCAAATGTTTTTTTCTTTCATGCAATTGTTTCTAACACATTTATAAGATTATTTCTTTGTTGCTTTATATGTCCCTCCCCCACGGTATAACCCCTGCTTTCATTGTATTTGATGTCGGTATAATTTGTGGAGGGGAAGGGAAAAAACAAATCGTTTAAATAGGGATACAGGTGGACCCATTGCAACAATGAGATGTACAAGTCGTTATGTCAAAACGAACTTTACAACTTCGGTGGGGGCGGGGAGGAGGATTGGGTAGGGGGGGTGGGGGGGGAATGGGAAGGGATGGGAAGAGGAAACAAAGGAGGAGGCTACAATGCTTGATAAGAAATGTACTCACTATCTTGCCCATGTAATTGTAACACCTCTGTACAGTATTTTCACAAAAAAAGTCCTCAAAAAATATATATAACACCATTCTGATTGATAATAGGAATCTTTAAAATTGTGTATCTTAAAATGACACTCACCTGGATCTGTACATTTGCTAAAACTACTGAATTAGGATTTTGTGTTTCTGAAAAGGCAGCTATTTATATGGATCTATTCCTTCTGTCATTGACTATTTCTCCAGAGGGAATACTTCATCAATATGAGGGAAAGCTCAAACAGTAAGAAATATCACCCTAGTATCTACAACTTAAAAAAATCTTTATATGGGGGGGAGGGCGGGGGGGAGAATGGGAAGGGGAAACAAAGGAGGAGGCTACAATGCTTGATAAGAAATGTACTCATTATCTTGCCCAGTAATTGTAACCCCTCTGTACAGTATTTTCACAAAAAAAATAAATAAAAATTAAAAAAAAATCTTTATAGGTCCACCTGTATTCCTATTTAAACCCATTGTGAGATGTACAAGTCATTATGCTGAAAATGAACTTTACAACTTTTGTTGGGGGGGGGGTATGGGAAGGGGAAACAAAGGAGGAGGCAACAATGCTTGATAAGAAATGTACTCATTGGGGCTGGGAGGGTGGCTCAGTGGTAGAGCGCTTGCCTTGCATGCCTGAGGCCCTGGGTTCGATTCCTCAGCATCACATAAGAAAAAAGAAAAAAGCCAGAAGTGGCGCTGTGGTTCAAGTGGTAGAGCGCTAGCCTTGAGCTGAAGAGCTGAGGGACAGCGCCCAGACCCAGAGTTCAGGCCCCACGACCAGACCCCCCCCCCAAAAAAGATACTCATTATCTTGCCCATGTAATTGTAACCCCTCTGTAATTTTCACAATAAAAAAAAATCTTTAAAAAAAAAAAAAGAAGAAAAAGGATCGTTCTTCCTACCTTTCAGAAGGGGGGAAAGAACAAAACAAACAAATTGGACAGTTTGCCCAAGGTAACTTGTTTAGAAAACAGCAATGGCATGTATATATATATATATATATATATATATATATATATATATAATATTACCATTATATACTTAGTCAATAATTATATTCCTTAGTTCCACCTGGGACATGGGACTTTTATGTTGCATTCCTTGTTGGTGAACAGATCACCAAGTGTCTCATAAACTCTATGTCCGGTGCACAAAGCTAGTCATTTTGAAAAACTTTCTAAAATAATGTGATGTATAGGAGCTTCCTAAGGAAGAGGATGCACCTAGCTAAACCTGTAAACAATATAGCAGAAATACTCCACGGTGGGTCCATGATGGGAGCCTGGAACCTGCACTCAAGAACTGTCAGTTATAGCTAATTTGCTTGGAAGTCACAGTCTAGAGAGTGCAAGGTCTCCAAAAAACAAGGAGAATAGTTTCTCCTTGGTGGCTGTGTGTGTGTGTGTGTGTTTGTGCTCAAGACTGACGACTTTCTGAATTCATTCTGAATTTCAGCCAGAAGCTGGAGGTCTAGATGTAAATGTTTGGGTATCCTCAATGAAATTACCTGGCTCCATCTGGATATAGATGCTGAACATTCACATAGATGAGAGAGAAAAAAAAAAAAGCTTCACTTCAAAATGCTTCCAAGTTATTATAACTTTTTCTCTTCTGAGACACATGATAGCAACTAATCCTGAGACTGAAGCTACTTTTCTTGGAAGTATGGTATTCTGGATCATTCCACGTTTGCAGGAGTTAAGAGGACTTTGGAGTTGGCTTAGCACAGTGTGCAGAAAATTTGAAACAGGCAGAGAGACAGCAGAAAAGAAAGCTGAGACTGAGACTAATTCTGGACTTTTCAATTGTCTCAGAACTGTGCTGAGAGCTCCAACATCCCATCTTCTCCCAGGATTTGAAGGTGCTGAGCTCAAGGCTATCTCTATTGGTCTTTCCACAGCCAAACCTCCCTAGAATATCAGACCGACATAGTCACAACCCTAGGAGTTGGAGCTGAGGGGACACAGCTCAGCAGATACTTACTAACAAGCTCTTCAGGTTCAGAGAGCATTCCTTCTTGAGGATTACCAGTGCAGCCAGGCCACAGAATGTGTAGCCACCATGGGCTTCCATCCCTGGCACCCCGCCAATGCCACCTTCCCAGTTCTGACACCTAGAAGATATTGAGAAAGGCAGCCTGAATGTGTACATGTCCCCTCCACACTGCAGATGGCAGAGAATGACTTTGCTCAGGTAAAGGCAAAAGCCATCACCATTATGAATATAAAGATATTCCAGATCTTGGTTCAAAATACAGACTTAGCCAGGTGCTGGTATCTCACATCTGTAATCCAGCTACTCAGGAGGCTGGTATCTGAGAGGTATGGCTCAAAGTCAGCCCAGGCAGGAAAGTCCATGAGACTCTTATCTCCAATTAACCACCAGAAAACCAAAAGTAGAGTTGTGGCCCAAAGTAGTACAGTGCTAGCCTTGAGCAAAAGATCTCAGGGACAGCACTAGGCCCTGAGATCCAGTCCCATGACCACCACCACCAACAACAAAAGAACCAAGCCTAGAGTGCCTAAAGTATGCTTTCTAAACAATAATTATGAGGCTGGGAAGGTGGCTCAGTAGTAGAGTGCTTGCCTTGCATGCATGAGGCCCTGGGTTCCATTCCTCAGTACCACATAAACAGAAAAGGCCGGAAGTGGCACTGTGGCTCAAATGGTAGAGCACTAGCCTTGAGCTGAAGAGCTCAGGGACAGTGCCCAGGCCGAGTTCAAGCCTTATGACTGACAAAAACAAAACAAAAAAATAATAATTATCTTACAACAGCACTATAAAAATTGTAAGAAATGTTGAGTACTATGATTATCTGCTTTATTAATATATTAGAAATGAGAAGGTAATGGAATGATGCTTACAAAATTCAGAAGGAATATAGTTATAATATTCCTAACTTAGACATCTCTAACCAAGTAAATGACTAAGCAGGTTTGTGAATATAGACATAGGCAAGATCTTAAAAGTGTATCTCCCAGGTGTCATTTGTGGAGATCCACTAGAATATGTGCTCCATTAAAATGAATAAGTAAGCCTAAGAGTAATGCCTTCAACAAAGCAAAGAAGTAATTTCATGCCAAAAGGAAGTTTGTAGATGCCTGCTGTGCAACAAGCTGAGAACAATCTGCCCAGCCTGAAGCAAGAGGGCAGGGAGCTCCAGGAAGGATAACTCCTTCCTGGAGTGCGCACACGCGTGTGCAGGCACACACACACACACACACACACACAGTGCACGCACTCATGCATGCACATACCCATACATGACTGCCTGTGTGTTTCACTATGTGGGGAATAATTTTATAGTTCTGACAGAATTTCTGGAATGAATTCCTGATGCATACATTTATGACATGTACATTAACTCCAGGAAAATCAAAGTAATGGAGAAAAATAAGATCATAGTATATTATGTGGTTTCACATTAAGTTATATTTAGATGGTTAAAAAAAAGTACTACTACATTGACGAGAAATATAAAATAAAAATAGTATAGATGTAACCGTTTGTGTGTGCCTGTCCTGGGGCTTGAACTCAGGGCTTAGGGTGCTGTCCCTCAGCTTTCTTGCTCAAGGCTAGTACTCTGCCACTTGAGCCACAGCTCTACCTCTAGCTTTTTGATGGTTAACTGAAGATAAGTCTCTTGGATTTGACTACCTGAGCTGGCTTTGAACTACAATCTCAGATTTCAGTCTCCTGAGTACCCAAGATTTACACACAAGAGCCACTGGTGCCCAGCTCTCTCATCTCTTTCATAAGAGTTTCTGCAGGAGTGGAATTACTGATTCATAGCCAGGGTACTTTATGATATTGCTAAACTGCTCTAGACTGCTAAAATCAATTCAAACTCACACCTATACTGTTTACCAAAGTTTTGAGCCTTTACCATCTAAATATTAATAAAACACTGGAAAACAACAGTTTAAAATATTTTTAAATGCACAATCGTGTAATCCTGAGTCATCTCTCATAATTTTTTATTTCTTTGCAGTCTACAGTGAAGTCTTAGCCACCTGGTCTCCAAGAAGTCAGGAAACCCTGGCTTTCTCACCTTGCTATCCATTCCGCAGTGCCTTCAAAGAGGTCTGGAGTGATGATGTTGGTCAGAGAGGCCACCGAGGCAGCGCAGTATGCACTTCTGGAGACACAAACAGAGGAAAACATAGTGTGCTTTATTTAAGAATTCATCTAGTGTCCTGGCTCAGTGAGCGCCGGAGGTGGATTGCTTGCCTTGCCAAGTAAGCAGAGATTACCTCCCGTCCTCACTCCTGGCACCTAGTCAGTCCTCCCAAGTCTCCAACTGAGAGGTGTGGTATTCTATTTGGATAGAGTTGCTCACAGCATGGCCTCAGTGAGAGAACATGACATTCTATTCTCCCTACCTCCAAATGGCCAAATAGACATCAGAGGAAATAACAGCCATATCAGTTCATGTCAAAAGTAGCTTTAGATCCTCTACTCAAAGACCTACAGTGGTTTCTATTATTCATTCAGGGGTCTGGATTATATTCAAGGGCTTCCGATGTGCTGCTCTCTCATTCAGATGGCAGGACTGTACAGATTTCTGTGGAATTGGTGCCTAAGGAATTAGAACTTTACATTTTCTGCAACAGGCACACTCCAGAGCAGACCACTGATCACCAATACACACACAGAAACATCTTCCAATAAAAACAAAGGAATGCTGTCGTCATTGTTGCTCATTTTTGCTATTGGTGCTGGGAATTGAACCCAGAGTTCATGCTAAGTTATATGCTGAGTTATATTCAAAGCTTCTTCTTTTTTGTTTTTTTGGTCGGTCATGAGGTTTGAACTCTGGGCCTGGGCACTGTCCCTTAGCTCTTCATCTCAAGGCCAGTGCTTTACCACTCGAGCCACAGTGTCACTTCCAGTTGGAGATAAGAGTCTCACAAACTTTCTTGCCTGGGCTGGCTTTGAACCTCAAACCTCAAATCTCAGCCTCCTGAGTAGCGAGGATAACAGGCGTGAGCCACTGGCACTGGGCTCAAGGTCTTTTTTTTTTTTAAAGCATTATCCCACTTGATTTGGGGTAATTCTTACCATCCCAGCCCTAATTCTTCTCAGTATACATTCTAGTTCAGCTTCTCCCATCTTTTACAATATAAAACAACAAAAAGTCAAACTTACTGAGTATTCCATAGAAATCTCTGCATTAGCTATAAGCAGGATAATCCTACTAGCACAGTTGTCAGCCTGGCTCCTGCTGACCAAAGCACGGCAAAGCTTAGCTGCACCAGCAGGCATTGGAAGCCTGAAAGAGTCATGTGTGCCAGCACCAAATGTTGGCATTTACCATAAGCTAACTACAAAAATTTGATCCAATTGCCCTGGTCTTCAGCCTCTGGAATAGCCTCAGATGTAGTTTTTGAGGCTCTGAATCCTAATGTAACCTATGAAGCAGGGAGGTAGCTTGTGATGGCATTTGCCTTGCATCAATGCAAAAACTAAGCAGTGATGACAAAGTCACCAATTCTAGATCTCACACTGAGTTGGGGAGGGAACAAGACACAAGTTCTTCAGGTAGTTTCTTCCTTCCTCCTTCCATGTGTCCAGCCATCAAAGGACTCCAATTTGTTTGCTCCTCTCCATTACTTCATCCTCTCTGCTGTCATCCAAATCTGAATCGGTATCTTCCAACTGGATCAATCTCCTGTCCAGTCTCCCTCCATCCAGCCCTGAAACTGAAGACCTTTGCAAAAACACTACAATCTATTCACTGCACCTGGACACCTGGAAAATTTCTAGCAAGATACAAATCATATCACATCACTTTCTACTTAATACCACAAAAATAAACTCCAGAATCTGAAAGGAGTATTTTGGACCTCCTCAGTCCATTTCTGGGCTGTCTTCAGCTTCATGGCTCCTTCTGGCCACAGGCTCCCTACATTTCAGTAACACTCAGCCTCTCCTGTCTTGCAGATATCCTTTTCTGTCATATTAATTTTTTTTTTTTTGCCAGTCCTGGGGCTTGAACTCAGGGCCTTGGTGCTGTTCCTGAGCTTCTTTGTGCTCATGGCTAGTATTCTACCACTTGAGCAACAGCACCACTTTCAGCTTTTTCTGAGTCATTTCTTGGAATTAAGAGTCGCATGGACATTTCTACCCAAGCTGGCTTCAAACTGTGATCCTCAAATCTCAGCCTCCTAAGTAGCTAGGATTACTGGCAGTAGCCACCAGCACCCAGCATCACATCAACTTTTGTTAATGCTGATCCCTGCCTCTAGAAACTGGATGCAGCCTACAAACTTTCATCCATTATTCATATCTTCCTCCACTGTGCAAATAAAAAGCATGGCTTCCATGATGGAATATTCCCAGAAGAGAGAAGTAGAGGAGACTATGGCTCAGAGGAACACATCCATCCTATTGAAGTTGTCCTGCATTTGTCTATCAGGTATAAACAAGAACAGAGAGAAAGGCTGGTGCTAGAATAAGTGAGCTGAAGAATAATCATACTGAAAAAGGTACATGAGGAAATAACACAAGAGTCTTGCTATGGGTCATTTGCTTTTGCCTAATCTCACTCTGTAGCCCAGGCTAGCTTCAAACTCATGACCCTCTGGCCTCAGCCTCCATTGTCCTGGGATTACTGGGTAATGTGCAGTGCCACCACACACAGCTCTTTCTCTATACCTCCAAACCAATGAATAAATCAGATACTTAAGCAGGAATATTAATCAATGTGCCCAGAGGCAAACCTAGACAATAATGGTAATAAGATAGTTCTGATATAGAAAACTCACAAAAAATATCTTTTTCAGACTAAATAATTCGAAAATGATATAAAATCTCAATAACCACTGCCTTTGAGAAATAACTTATTCAGTGATTTCTCTACATGCCTCATAAGTAATATCCTGCCAGGTAAAGAAGCTACTTGCTACAAGCATATTAGACACAGTGCCTTGATAAGCAAGTACCAATGTGCTAGTGCAACATCACTGCATTGCACTCTATTGGCCCGTAGGGCTCTCTGCACCTTGGGAAGGAATGATCACATGACTAGGGAGAAGCTCAGGTGTTCAGCATTCTCAGGATTTCATCAAATTCAACAGAAAGTATTTACTGAGTCACTGCTGGGACTTTTTTTTTTCTCCACAAGAGATGAACTATATTCCTTATATAAATAAATATGTCAATAAAATACATTAATGTATATTATATCTGAATTATAATATTATACTGTATAGTCATATCACAGTATATAATTTTATAGCAAACATAAAGATTTTCTTTTTCTTTTTCTTTTTTGTTGGTCATAGGGCTTGAACTCAGGGCCTGGGTGCTGTTCCTAAGCTTTTTTGCAGAGCCACAGCTCTGCTTCCAGCTTTTTTGGTAGTTAGGAGCTAAGAGTTTCCTGGACTTTCCTGCCTGGGATAGCTTCAAACTGCAATCCTCAGATCTCAGTCTCCTCAGTTAGGATTACAGGCATGAGCCACCAGCACCCAGCTTATTTTACTTATGTTTTATGGCATCTACATAAAGAAGAGATAATGACTCTTAGGATATCTGTATCACTTCCCCAATCACTGTGGCCTTGTGTCACTGACACATCATTCTGCACATTGCTCAGTGGGATAAAGCAGTACATCTGCCATGCCGCTTTTTTGGCCTGGCATCACTAACACAGTTGAGCTCTAGAAGCCATGGATGCAACTACCTGAGAAAACCCCCACTCACCTTACATCTACCTCACCTCCAACGTGCATGAGAAAAGAGCCATCAGGTTGCTTTAGTGAGTACAGATACTGAAGAAGCTTCTCTCTGAGGCAAGCAGGAGGGAGAGAGGCAGAAACAGTGGTCAGTGAGGTACAGCAGCTGGGCAGCCCTTCCGGGTCTCTGTCACTGCTGGCTGTGGTCATACCTGTTAATGACATCGTAGGCCTCCTCGGTGCCAATGATGCATAGTGCATTGACAGCTGCATAGGTAGGTGCGAGGTGTGGGTACTGCCCAGGGCCTCCTCCAAAACCACCTTCTGGGCTTTGACACAGCTCCAGGAACTGACACACACTAGTTACATGGCCAAGGGGAAAAACAAAGTCAGAGAACATTCATTTCAAAATTCCAATGCCACCAGATTGCCCATCTTTCTGCTAGCTTCCCTACCTCTAAAGTTGGAAAATCCCTTACCTCTTATTTGTTAAAAATAATGTCCCCTCGCCCAGAGGCTTAGCTTTCCACTAAACTATCATCAGTTCAGTATGTCTTCCGATCTTTTCCTGTTGCTGTTCTTGTAGTACTGGGGTTTGCATTCAGGGCCTTCTACCACTTTGAGCCATACCTCCAGCTACATGCATTCCTATCAGTTTTGTATTTAAGCATTGCCTTTCATAAAGACAATGAAGAAACAAACTTTCATACACAAGGGTGAGGGTCTTGTGTATCTTTATCAAACCTTTCTCATATTTTTTCATTCAGCTACACATCTTGGATTTGAAATCCAGCCTCCTTCCTTGCCTTTGAAGACTTCACAGCCTTTGAATTTTGACCAGCACTTAGTGGTCAACTGCTTCTTTCCACACTAGTCACCCCAGTCTAGATTCTCTCCTTGGCTGGTGGTGAATACTTGGAGACATCTCTCTCTCTCCCATGTGTGCCCTGGAGGGTTGCTGTTCTGTTTCTTCTGTTGCTAGGAAGGAACAATCTCTGAGTGGAGTCTGCCCCCATGGCTAGGAGTGTGACAGAGGGCCTGATCATGCTCTCCAACAGGAGTGAACACAAGCAAAGCCCAAATGGCTCACGCCATAAGGACAGCTTGGCAATTTGTGAGTTCTTGGAGAATTTTCCACATGAATCCACAGAGGTTCCAGTTCCTGAACTGGGAACAACTTTAATGAGGGTTTGCCTCTGAGAAGGCATCAGGGTACCCAAAAGTTATATTCCTGCTTTAGGTGAAATAAGAAAGCCCCTATCTGTCCAAGGTCCTCTGAAGTTCACCAGGAAGAAGTACACGGCCCTCATTAGCAAGTTGCTTCCCTAGCCTACACTCTGTGGTCACACAAGGCTTTATGGTTAGGAAAACCTCCACTTAAGAGGACATGAACAATGTCCATGTCTTTCAAGTGGTCAGGGGCCTTCTTTTCTGGCTTGTTCACCTAGTGTTTTTCTGTTGTTAGTGGGGCCTGAACTCTGGGTCTGGGTGCTCTCTCAGCTCTTCAGCTCAAGGCAAGCACTTGAGCCACAGCACCACTTCAGTTTTTTTTCTGTGTATATGGTGCTGAGGAATGGAACCCAGGCAAGCGCTCTACCACTGAGCCACCTTCCCAGTCCTCACCTCGTTTTTTCTTATCCACTGCTTACAGAGAGACCACTTAGGGCTAACCCCCATGAAGACACAAGTTCATGATTGCTTTTCCATATCATGTGCTTTGGATTTCAGGCCCTCCATTACTTGGGCAAGGACAGCAACAGAAAAAGCTACTGATGTGGCATTTGAGTCTTGAAATCCTCACAGGTCAAAAGAATGCTCATTTACTTCTATTTACTTCTAAAAATTTGCTGTAGGAAACAAGGGTTGAGACTAAAACTGGTACATAGATTACTCTGCAACACATTTTTAATAAAAATGTTCATAAAGATGCCAGGCGCCGGTGGCTCACGCCTGTAATCCTAGCTACTCAGGAGGCTGAGCTCTGAGGATGGCGGTTCAAAGCCAGCCCCGGCAGGAAAGTCCATGAGACACATATCTCCAATAAACCACCAAAAAACCAGAAGTGGTGCTGTGGCTCAAGTGGTAGAGTGCTAGCCTTGAGCTAAAGAGCTGAAGGACAGCTCCCAGGCCCAGAGTTCATGCCCTATGGCCAACTAAAAAAAAAAAAAATTCATAAAGAGATACAGTGATTCTTAACATGTTTACCAAATCATCCTAAATTCTTAGGTCATCTCCCAGAAACAAAAAAACAACTAAGTTCAAGTCCGAATGAAGGGTGGCCTGAATGACCTACCAAAACCTTTCCATACTAGAAAAACAAAAGGTTTTAGCTGACATAACTGAATAGTCTGAGGTTGGGAAAGTATTCAAGAGTAGCCACATGAGTGAGGTTCAGGGTTTGATCCCCCATAGTGGGAAACAAAAAAACAAAAAATGTAACAGCACTGATATTTTTTCAGAGACAAGGTGTCACTATGTAGCCCAAATTGTCCTCAAACTTAGACTCCTCCTGCCTCTACTTCAACCGGGATTCCAGGTCTGAAACACCACACCCAGCTTAACGGTTTCTTTTTCTTTTATTTTTTTTTATTGTGAGAATTCCATACAGAGGAGTTACAATTACATGGGAAGAAGAAGAGCCATCCATTTGCTTCCCTAGCTCCTCAGAACAAAATACTTCTGACCTAGTAGCCTAGAGTCTGGACTAAGTGGGGATCTGGATGTACTAGCCTCCATGCCAAACCCCGTCAGCTGACACACTGCATCTGTCTTAGGGTTGTGCTAGAGAGGCGAGGCTTCTCTGGAGTTTCACACTTCTGTATTACAGAACATTCTGATCCTGAGGCTTCCTACTTGCACCTTAAGGAACTGACAAATTGGCCATGACAAACCCAGCTGTCAGTAACAGCCTTCTTAGCAATTCTGAACACCAAAATGTTCATGACACTTCAGTCTACCAAAAGGGGTAGAAAAACTTATTTTAGACACCAAAAATTCACCAAGTAATAAGAAATTACAAGCAGGAAGTACTATGTAAACATCAAGAGGGGCACACTTGTGAAAAATAAGTTCACAAGCATGGCTTAGATATGCTAAGGACATACGCATAGTAAAGGTTGACGCAGATCGGTTATCATTAATATTAGCAAAGCTTTTACTGCTAGCTTATGTGATAATTATTACTAACAAAGTGGAAAAGTTTCTTCTACATAGGGTGGTTTTTTCAGACACAAAGTATAAGCATGAGAACCCATGGAGTAATAAAGAATAAACAGAAGCTCAGGCATATCAAAGCAGGAAAGAATGTAGGCCTCTCAATATTATCAAATTTTCAGATGACTCAGATACCCACAAAGTCTGAGCACTAGTCTTTGCTAAACAATTAGAATAACTTGGAGTTGCTGGAAAAATTAATGCCCCTGCCTAATATCAATTAAACATCAATATTAATATACCTAATATCAATTAAATCATAATCACAGAAGGTAAGCCAGGTTGGCAGAATTTTTTTTTTTTTTTGTCGGTCGTGGGGCTTGAACTCTGGGCCTGGGCACTGTCCCTCAGCTCTTCAGCTCAAGGCTAGCG